ATCGTAGGTATCGTGTTTCGTTAAACCCTGACCTGGTCGGTCGTGGCCTAGGCTTTGGTCTGGTTTGCTTTGATTTGGGCCTCTCGATGGTGGGGTTGCAAAAGCCGTCTCTGCATCCTGTCTCTGCGTCTCCGTCCGCGGTCGAGCTGGAACGGGATGGCCACCAGACGATCAGGTAACGTGACCTGGCGGGGTACATCTCCCGAATTTGAGCCTCATCTAAACACCATAGAAACATCACGACTTGGTGATTCGTCGAGATAAGCCTTGTTGGCTTAAATTTCGTGCCATTTACAGCTCCGAATTCTTTGGACAGCTCAAAAATACTCACTTGACAATTAATATGCTACTGTTTCATTACAAACAAAACGATTCTTCATCTATATAATAACACAGTCACAGCATTGCGTCTTCTACCTGGCTTATAAATGTCATTTCGTATTATTATGGAACGCACAAAGCGAAGGACCAGGTTCTGATTTAGCTTTGGCAGAAATTCTATTTCCCCCAAGAAATCACAGCCCCCTCGCTTAAGTCATCATCTATCGATTATTCTCCATTCGTTTAGCATCACTCACTTCAGTCAATTAGCCGTAATGATTATGTCCTCTTCCAAAATAACAAGGCAATGGTACTCCTATTACCGTATGCCCACCATTCCCAATCTTAACTCCAGTGGCTGTCAAAAGATAATCCCAACAAGAACAGTCGATCCAACCCCTTTTTTACTCGCTAGGTGGCGCTGATCGTTGAAGCGACACTGCCTCCATCGCTACCAGACCGTCTATCTGACTCCGAGGTCCCGTCCTCGTCGCCGCTTGTCAAACCACTCCCTCCTCCATTTGTTGCGCGCGATGACGGAATCTGGAGTCGACTTCCGATACTGTCCTGCCCCGATTCTTGCTTAAGCGACACCTCCACCATCCTCATGGCTTCTTGTAACGTTTCACCCGTTTCATCCATAGCCGCCAAGAACCGTGCAAGTTCTTTACATAATTCCCAGTCCCCTTCCCTCATGGCGCGAGATAGAAGCCGCACCGACTGTTCGGTTGAGGATCCCAATTCGTCCAATGTATGTAATATAATTAAGTACCCACCTGCTGTCTTCAATGAACCTCTTTGCAAAGACTCCTCAAAGAGTTCTTGTGCCTGCGGGAGGTATGCAAATAATGTCTTCCACTGACGAACTTCGGTCTTGCGTGTGCACTGCAGCACAATATCAAGATACTCCTTGAATGAGGATAGGAGGGATAGAACGCGAGGTAGCACGGCATCAACAGGCTTCGGGGATGTGTCAACTTCCTCATCTAACACGCGATGTAATAGTATCTCTAATCCATGGGCAAAGTACTCAAGCTCTTTGTACTGATGGGCCAGGTTCGAGGCTTCAACTGATCTGCTTTGCCTTAAGTAGAACCGAAGCAAGTCTGGAAGTATGAGATGTGTCTGGTTATCGTCAGCTACTAGATTACAACAGGACGCTTGAAAACCCACCCTAATAGCGAAATGAAAATATGAGAAGTTCACGTCGCGACGCTGGACAAGATCAGATTCAACCCCCAAGACGATACCCTTTTCCAAAAGGACTGAAAGGGGGTAGAAGTCGACGGGAATAGAGACCGGAGATGGCGGTTCCTTGCCATTATCTCCAGCAGCATCTAGGACTTGACTGATGTCTGGCCAGGCCTTGAGCTCCATTCCGTCAAACACCCAGAGAGAGTCTTTCAGTGCTGGCGGTCCGTTCCGTAGGGGGTTGTCTTCAAGCTGCCGGTTCGCGTTCCGCAATGGCTGATCCCGGACACTGGCGTGGTACTCCACGTTTTGTGCGATGACGCGCATATCATATTTCAGCTGACCCTCGTCGTTCAAGGACGGCCGTAGTAGGACAAGCTTTCCATCGACAAGAAAGATCACCGAGGCAACGGCGACATCCTGAGAAGGGTCGCCATCTGTTAACTGCGTGTCAGGCAGTATCCAGCTCAATCCCCTCACTCGAGCTGGAGACCTGACAATGCCGTGAAACGCAATCTGGCCTACCTGTATGAGGCGGATAGAGCCGCCATGTGGGGTAAAGATGAAATGATACAGTAAGTTTTCGTATGTGTAGACAAGAAGTGAGTCCTCGCCAGAGGTGGTCACAAGGACCACAGGGGCTGGGATTGTCTGAGTATGTAGTATCTGGGCCGAATCAAGTGCTGTCTCGCGTGAGAATAGTCGTAGCTCGAATCTTCTGTTGGCTTCTACTGCAGCAACGAGAATGTGTTGATGCCAGCACATGCCGCCTCTGACCTGGAACTCATTCTCCATGGCCTCATTAGCGAATGTCTTCCAGCGGCCGCTATTGACACTGTAATGGGCAAGTCCCCGTCGGCCAGCCACAGCTACGTAACGACCATCAGGAGAGATGACTGTTTGCCGTATCGGCCATTGGTTCAAGAGGTATGTGGGAGGGACCTTTGCCGTATGCCAGAGGAATGGCTCCGCCGAAATGCTGGTAAGATCTGGAACGTCGTAGCCTCTGTAGACCATCACACTGGAAGGAGTCTGCAGCACTGTCCGGAAGACATTTGCCTCATTGTAACACCCAGTAACGGCATTCTTGGCCATTTCCAGGGACCATATAGCTTCATGCTTGCGTCCTGTCATCAGAATCTCGGAGCCACCCCCGACCCAAGTAGCCCCAGATATTCCAGATAACCATTCTTCTCCATTGGCGCGCGATGTTGTCTCCTCAGATCCAAAACTATGACTTCCAATCTTGCCAAACATACTCCAGGTAGACCAGCCTTTCTGGAAGCCCGCAAAAAGGCAGTAACCATCGGGTGAGTAACTCAGACTCGTAAATGCTCCCGACGATGCTGTTGACACAGGAACTTGATGAATATGTGAATGAGGGATGTTACCTGCATAGTCACGGACGGAGTATACCTGTACAGTCCCATCGCAGCAACCAACGGCGATGAGAGAAAATCGTGCATTTATAACCGCCGTAGTGGCGCGATCGCGTTCGCCCTGAGGAACATGAAAACAGTGACCTTTGAAAAGTCGTTTAGCATCCGCGTCATCGACCTGGCTGCTCTCTGCTCGATGATTGTACCGCTGAACCGCATACGCTCGTCCGCTGCTCGTAATCCATGTCAAAAGGTTCATTGGGCGATCGTGTGTCATCTCAACGATGGTTGCCTTCTTCTCGACCCATCCCATTCGACTAATTATCTCGGTTCTCGTCTGTGAGCCCGTACTGTCCGGCGTCCAGCGGATACATTGAACTGCCGCAGGCTTCCTTGTTGCTACCATCAGCTCATCGTCAAGAGCGAGCGCACTTTCAATACCGGCATCGACCTTAATCACCATTCTAAAGCGAACACTGAGGTCGCGAACCCCTGGACCTTCACCAGCCCCCCATAAGATTTGCTCCGGGGGCAGACCGGTGAGGCCTCCGATAAGGCTCTGTCTCCTTCGCTGAACATTGCTGTAATTCGCGAAATGAGGTTTGTATACGCGCGATTCGGGATCAGTAGCCAACGAGTAAGTTATGAGATAGCCCTGGTCTGTGTGTATAACGAGAATGGCGGCGTCGGGTCTTAGTAGCAGGTCGACATTCTTGCCGTACGTTTCCAGAGAATAATCTGATCGAATAACCACAGCTAGGATAACAGCGGGCTATTTCGGTCAGCATGAAGGACGATTGTGCCGAAATCTCGTGCAGGTCTTACTTTGGTCTGCCAGACTGTAATTGAAGTCATTGTGATAACAGCGAACAGATTACCGGAACGTGAAACTCTTAAAGCCAGTATAGGATCTTTAACAGGAATTCCTCCTGTTTCGGTGCTTTCAGATGCTTGCAGAGGCCGGCTTGTTGTATAGTCATCGTGCTCGACAGGTCGGATTCCTGGTGTTATTGGGGTCGGTGGTGGCTGAGAGTCGAGGTCATCAACGGTATGACCTTGAGGTTGAGAAGTCGAAGGACCAGGCGATGGCGTCAGACTAGAATCGGAGGGGCTCGTAAGGCCATCGTGAGAAACGACAAGCTTAAAGGCTGGAGCTCGACTGCTGCTGGTAGCATGGATGCGTGGTGTTCCAATGGGCCAATACATGGCGGCAGCTTAGCTCCTCAGCTAAGGGTCCAGCAGCTGTAGATGCGCGGTGCTTTTGGGGGACCAGCGCTTCGATTGGAAAGATTTCGCTGCAGAAGAGACTCAAACATGACCCTGCGCGCTATCTGGCTCTAGGAATGGCTCCTCGTGCCATTGACTTATGATAATTTTCGAGATATGATGGTATTGAAGATGATAGTGGGTTGTCGCTATCGTCGCGGGTGAGCTCCTGGTGATGTTGTCATGAAAGAGTCTGATTGGTGGTTGCCGGCTTATGTAAGTTTACGTTTTGCTCTTTCCGTCCTTCCCTAGGTTCCTGTCAAGGCACCCTTACATTCACGATCACAACATTCCTCATTCGGCATGATCAAAATAACGTTAGACCTTATTGATTGCTAAACTTCTGGTACAAATCCAGCAACAAATTCAACCTCGTTTATTCCCCTTCCCAACATTGTCTTACTAGAAGCCCTATCATCTACCTAGGATGGATATATATACATCTATACGTAATGAGTCAACGGCACAAACAAACAAAATAACACGCATCGCATCTGACTCTATCGTCCCGTAGATCCCTGTTTCGTCTTGAACAAAGTTTACGGCCATGGTCCATGGGCTCATTCAACGCCTGGGTTAGCATCCTTTGCCAAGCAGTCCTTGGTTCACCCTAAACATAAATCCTTAAGCCAGCCACGGTCAGATGGGTTATATATCAAATCAACAAAAAGATTGACGCTCGCTTTTGAAGAGGTACAACATCATCCAGGAAACAGAACGCTCAAAGGTCAATGGATTTTCATTTGCACGGGCCCTCGTGGTTCCTGTTCCGGGCTAGGTCCTGTCCTTGGAGAGGTAATATCCATGGTCCTTCCAGTGTTATAAATCCGGGCTTCTTCGCAATCACAAAACAGGCAGAGTTCCGCTGGCATGATCTTCCCCTGCCTCAAGACATAGCGCCGTATCCTTTTGCAGTACTGTCTGTGTCGAGAAGGAGTCTCCTTTGGTTTTGAGTGTAGAAGAGCCTGTGGCAGGGCTTGTGGCAGTGGCCCAGTCAATGATATCCATGATCCTGGTCGGCTCGCCTTTCATATCAGATGAAAGTGAAATGTCCGAGTCTTTACCGGATGAACAGTCCGAATCATGGGATTTGGGTCCAGGCATAAATTTGAAATTCAATGAGCCTATGTTCGAGAGTAGATCCAGCTGGCTTGCGGTGGAAGCTAGATCCCAGGACAGTTTAGAGCTCAGCTTGCGCAGAGATTTGCGTGGCTCAACACCATTGGGTGGGATATACTCTCCCTCCTCAGTTATCCCCCCAGTTTCTTGTCTGTTTCTGGGCATCGCCGTCAGTCTCATGGCTATCACGGATGTGATTATGGCCATCTTAAGAGTATAATCTCGGAATCCGGCCATGAGCTCGTCTATCGACTTTGGGGATTGCGTGAAGCAGTGTGACTGAGTAATGATGCAACTAAGTGCAACGAGACCAGCGACAGTGCCGAGACGGGCTCTGTAACTCAGTTGTCAGCTTCTCTTCCAATTCCCAGTCCAAGGCGCCTACTGTTGAAAGGCCGGTGTATGCAAGAGAATAGAAACCATGGCAGACACGGCTAGCAGCGAGAAGATTCTAGACATCATCAGCATAAAAGCTCTGGCGAGCACATACAGACTTACGCAGCATCCAAGTGAGGGTGCCGGGGTAACTCCAAGGCAACGCCAGCACCAAGGAGCGTCCCCGCGGGTAAGATTATTCCGACATGGCGTACAATTCGCCATATGAAACTGCCTGTTGTGTTAGGCATGCTGTCCATGGCAATAAGAGGATTGGGCTGAAAAGAGAGGGAGGTAGCAGCCCAAAACTACTTTTGAAATTGGAGCGATAGCGTTTACTCGAGACAGACAATGAAACCAGTCCAAGGAACAATGCCGTTGGTTTGGGATTCTGGCCATTTCAAAGTTCTTATATTCATGGACGCCCAACGCAGAGCCCGAAGCTAGCCAGTGTTAGAACCTAGCCATTGGTACGAAGCAATGGATACCATTGATTGATGCAGCAGTCAGCCAAAAAATGTAAGCCCGTTCGCCCCAAGAAAGCTGCATCCCTGAGTGATAGGCTCGGCATCAAGTCTAAGATGTGAGGCTTTCATTCGCAATTGTCCCAAATTGGCGGCTTCTGTACTTTACCAGCACATAACGTAATGTGAGCCTATTGAGTTGGCCCACGTACGAGGCAAAACAGTCTGTTTGTGGTTGAGTGTTGGGCGGGCGAACCATATGAGGCTCAAACGATTGGCCGGCATTATCTTCACAACTCCTGAACCGAGTATGCCTTACAATCGTTTCAACCCAACATCGGCGCAATCATTAGGCATGGGTGCATCAAACCAAGACAAGTCATGAAAATCATGGCTATGCCAAGAGTGCTGTTGGCCAATTCCATGTTGTCCCATGACGGCGCATGGATAGTCTCTTTGGGTTGCCGGATGGCAGATATATCGATAATAACCAGGTTGATTGAGGCCCGCTTATTATGTCGCTGCCCAGGTAATGATGCCCAGTATCCTCTTTGGTCCGGGATGGACTACTTATAAGACTACATGGGCCCAATGATTTAACGTCAGGACCAGAGAGTAAAGTTGTTCGGCGCTTGAGACTAGTCAACCACCCTCGCAACATACTTCGCTTCGTGCGGGACTCCTTCGCATCTCATGACTATTTATTTGAATGAAAAGTCTCAACCGTCTGAACAAGGCTCTATCCGCCATGTGTCGCTCACCCCGTTCGCTGCCGATTTGGTTGAGCTTCTGCCAGCAGGTGGAAGCGCTTGGGTCATGTCAGAGTTCATGCACCAAATGCGCTCAACCGCTCATTTACCAGACACGGTGAGTTTGACTGAGTGCACGATTGCTTCGATAATCTCAAGGGGTTGTGAATCTGCTGCATATACTACTTTGGGGAGATAGAAACTGACGTCTTGGGTGGTGTAAGACCTGGCCGCAGACAACGCACTCCGAATCGCTGATCAGGCTTTCTCAGTGGCAAGCGCTCACAGCCTGTATCATTTACGGTTGTTCGGTTGCTTCGTTTCTTCATCGACGACGCCTTTGGGATCCTAACATGTCTCTCATCTTTGCAGCCTGCGTGTCTTTCGGTGTGCTGGTAGGAAAATGCACTGGTGCAGGTTTCGACTATATCATGCTGGTTCATGTATCGTGGGCGACATGTTTGGCTATGGTTGCAAGCGCTGTATGCCTGCATATTCAGTCACGACTGGATGAATAAGCTGAGTCTGAGAACGTGATGGATAAGGGTATGTTAACTGCCCGAGGAGGAGTTTTCAACACTTGGGTTAATTTTACAATACCTTCCTTTTCTTTGCATCATGGTTGGTGTAAAGCCCACTGGCGATTATGGTGGCCAAACAAAGATAAGAGCCGGCGACTATGGTGAACTAGAATTATGATACACCTACCTACTTTTGAGCCTTGGTTGAATGATTTGGAGTTTTCTGCAATATCGGTGGACGATAGAACACTCATCCACTCATCCTAGGTATGTAAGCTCTCTTTATCGCTATCTATACAATTACAGAGCTGCAGCATCGTTCATGAGTGGATCTGTCTGGCCACAGAAGATACATTCTCTTATCATTCTGGGGTAGTCTATCTCATCGTGGCTAAAGGCGCGAGATAGGCCCGCTAGGAATGACACTAGGCAACTGGGCGTAGGTGACAATTCAAAGGGCGTGGTCAAGTGCCGATATCGTAGCGATTATTTGGTATAACGGCTCAAGCGACAAGTGGCTACCGCTCCTTGACGATGGTCACGCGCAACATAGCACAGCAAAACACGCAGACCAAGCGTACGTAATAGATAACTAATTGAATAAAGACTTCTGACCTCGTGAGGCGTCAATGACATAACCCCGCTCCCAAGCCCGGAGCACCGGTGTAGGGTATCTGGGATACAGCCGGCTAAGATCGGGCGGAGACTGAGAAGCCCGGCACCGGCGACGTTTGGTGCATTTCCCGGCTCCGAGGGGGATTAATAAGACACGCTTTTGTATTTTGACAACCTCCTGTTTCTATTCTCAATGAATTTCGAGCAACGAGTTTCTCCCTTCAACACATTGCTAAATCTTGACCCCTGCTGCTTGAACTCCCAGGAACCCCTCAGCCAGCTCCACTTACACGGTGCACAACATCACGTACCTTCACTTACCTTCACAATGCTCCCAGCTGTGAGAGGGTCACGGCTTGGACCACTGGTTCGACATGGCCGCTCAATTCATACCACATCGCGGTGTCTGTCAAGCGCCGAGGCAGCCCCGGCTGCTCGTCCAGCACATTATGATACCTCACAGCAGCTCTCCGCTATCGATGTGGTGAAGGAGAGACGACTGAAAGCGGGAAAGCTTGTGGCTGGAGTTGCTGCTGCATCAGATAGTGACATGTTCAAAGGACCGGTGAGTTGAGAAACTCGAGTGGTGACTGTTCTGAAGCTCACCGTAATGATAGACCACTGGACTACCCAAGTCTAAGCGATGGGATAGTAAGTGTCAAGAAAACACCCCGGGCTTCATGGTTATAGCTTACATATGTTTACAGACCATTTGAGCCATGAGAGCAGAGTGCGAGAACCATGTACTCTCAAGCAAGCAGCTCGCCATATGAAGAAACCCGGCCTTATCTCACTTGGCGGTGGCCTACCATCCAGCGAAGTCTTTCCCATTGCTGAACTCGGCTTCAAAGTCCCTGTGGCACCAAAGTTTTCCGAAAAAGAGACTGAAGAATCGGGCCAAACTGTAACAATTGGAAAGTATGACGTGAGAGACCGCGGAGGTACTTATGACTTGTCCATCGCTTGCAACTACGGCCAAGCTACGGGATCCCCTCAGATGATGAGATACTTGACTGAACACACTGAGATTGTGTACAACCCTCCATATGCAGACTGGAAAGTTTGTCAGACAATTGGCAGTACCGGAGCGTTGGAAGAGGCGCTGCGAATGTTTTGCGACAAGGATCGTGGCGACTCAATACTCACTGAAGACTTCAGCTTCTCGACTGCCCTGGAAACAGTTGGTCCTCTTGGTGTGAAGGCATTTGGCGTTGCGATTGACGAAGAGGGCCTCATCCCTGAGGCCATGGATGAGCTCTTGTCAAACTGGGATGCTAAAGAACGAGGTTCGAGGAAGCCTCATGTGTTATATACTGTTCCCTCAGGACAGAATCCCACAGGCGCAACACAGGGAACCGAGAGAAGGAAGGCCGTCTACGCCGTGGCGCAAAAGCATGATCTATACATCATCGAAGACGAGCCATACTACTTCCTCCAGATGCAACCCTACACGGGTCGCGACCAACCAGAAGTACCACCACCAGAGACGGTCGAGGAGTTTGTATCATCTCTCATTCCTTCGCTTCTAAGCATCGATGTCGATGGACGAGTCATGCGCATGGACTCCTTCTCAAAGGTTCTCGTGCCAGGTTCTCGTCTTGGTTGGATAACAGCGTCAGAACAAATTGTTGAGCGGTATATTCGACACGCTGAAGTCGCAAGCCAAGGGCCCAGTGGCTTCTCTCAGGTCATTCTATATAAGCTGCTTGATGAGACGTGGGGTCACGAGGGTTACTTACGATGGCTGATGAACTTGCGGCTGGAGTATACAAAGAAGCGAAATGCTCTTTTGGCCGCTTGCGAAGATCATCTACCTAGTGATCTTGTCAGTTGGGCTCCTCCTGTCGCTGGCATGTTTGTAAGTGTTCCGCATCGTTACATATGGAAACCGTCAACTGACTCTCAAAGATGTGGATTAATATTAATCATACAAAGCATCCTGAAGCAGGCAAGCGAAGCATTGTCGATATCGAAGAGGAGATTTTCAACTCTTGTATCGAGAATGGTGTTCTTATCGCCCGGGGCTCGTGGTTCTTAACTGAGAAGGACAAGGCACCACCCGGACTTTTCTTCAGAGCGACATATGCATCTGCAACGCCTGAGAATATGAATAAAGCCATTGAAAGATTCGGAAAGGCTGTAAGAGATAGCTTTGGGAGGAAGTAGACTATGTCTTGGTATTCAGTTGCTGGAAACAGGGACAAGTTTGAAGACATCAGCCAATTGGTATCGAACAAAACTTTAGTTACAAGCATCTCGATATCGTGCAATTCAAATTTGTGCACAGAGTCTCACCAAATCATCATAATTCATGTAACACCAAAACATTACTTCTGGGCTTCCCAGAATGCAACCTTGACTCCCTGGCCCGGTGATAAGACAATGTCTGCTTTGAGGAGGGGCTCACCTCCATCAATATCCTTCATCTGACTCTCCACACGATCAAATTTCTGGAACAAGCGGACCAGAACATAACTCATCTCAGTCAAAGCAAACTGCTGACCGATGCAAATTCTAGGACCAGCGTTGAAAGGGATATAATCATGAGGCTTAGGATGCCAGTGGGCCCATCTCTCTGGGCTGAAGATCTGAGGATCAGCGAATGTATCGCTGATAGGAGGATACAGATCTGAACGTCTCTGCATGACGAGGGTGGAATATGCAACTGGCGAGTCCTTCAGAACGGGGAGTGTCTCAGAACCATCTGGACCGCCACCTCGAGGAAGGGTCGTATCCTTGAGAGCAAGACGAACATTGAAAGGCACAGCTGGATATAGGCGGAGGGTTTCGTTGAGAACAGCCTTGAGATAACTCATACTCTTGAGATCCTCGTATGTTGGCGTGTGCTCAGTTCCAAGTGTGGAGATGATCTCGGCACGCAACTTCTTTACAGCATTAGGAT